AGACGACGTAGACAATTTTTATTACATGTAGAATTTTAACGATCACACGAAAATTAATCTTTACGATCTTTTAATGATAATTAATCAAATCTAATTTTATTTGATTTTTGTTTCATTGAAAACCTAAACGTTTTCTACGAGTTAGTAATAATTTCTGAACATTATTTTTTCGCATACAGGATTATCGGTTAATTAGGGGAAGACCCTACGTGTAAAAGGTATTTCTCATGGTTGAGAAACATACGTGCAATTTTGATACGTTAATTATGTATATTGTATCTCTATCTCTTATACTTCATTTTCACATCTACTACGAGAAGAAGAAGAAGAAGAAGAAGAAGAAGAAGAAAATGTTCCAACAGGTGTATCCAACAAACGAAATGTCAAGAAACATCTCAAAGTGAAGATATGCAAGAAAAAAGTGAACAAAGTATGACCAGACATTAAATCGTAAAAACACGAACACCGGATCCTACGTAAATCTTTACAGTCTCACCTTTATTTTTTTTTATAAGTTAAAAAAAAAGTAAAATAAAAAAGATAAGAGAACATTGGGATAAATTAGAAATTCACGAAGAAGAGAGAAAAATAAAATTGAAACGTAAGAAGAATTACAATACGAATACGTGGGATTGAAAAATAAAATGACAAATCTTTGATAAAGAAGAATAAAAAATTAAACGAATCAAAGGAATTTTCCCTTGCGGCTTTTTGCGATAACATAACATAACATAACATAATATAAAGGATAATGAACAGAAGGAAATGTGTATTCATAGAGAGTAATTAATGCACCCGTATAATGAATACTACTGTGTACAATAAATATATATATATATATATATATGCCATAGTTTACAACATTTCATATAATTAAACAGATGGTATGAAATTCATGTTTACGCGATGGTTACGTTTTCATTTTTTTTTTTTTTTTTTCAATTACATCAATAATTTACACATATCTCTTAATAGAGATATTGCAGAGTTCGATCTATGCAATAGATCTATGCAAAAGACAATTATTTTGATATAATTATCAAAATTGATTATTTCAACTACACCAATTATTTGAATAGTTTCCTTATTTCAAATAAACTAATAGTTTATTTAATTTTGAATATCAAACTCAATGATTCTCAGTTTATAATACTACTTCTTTTAACCCTTTGAATACTAAATACTTTTAACTAAAATGATTTGTAGGAACGGAATAATTTATTTATTTTTTAATTATTAATTTAATAATAATCAAATAAAATAAATGGTAATTGAAATAAACATATATTTAATTAAATTATTGTTTACATAAAATAAAATATTATTTACAATATTTATTATTTGATATTTAAATATTAATATATTTGATTAACTAAATTCTAATAAATAAATTATATTGAATAATTAGTTTTTCTTTTCTGTATTTAATTAATTAATATATAAACACATTACATTATTTTACATTAATATTAACAAATACGTATGTTTGTCAATAGACAACTCTGATCATTTTTACCAAACGCACATATGCGTTTATAACACTCTAAGAGTTAAAACGAACGATCACCAATTGAAATTTCAATGCATAGTTTTGTCCTCGATAGGAATTTACGAGGACGCATCAAAGCGAATCTAAAATCTGGAATTTTCATTGTCAAACGTTACGAGAGAGTATTAAAATCCCGAAGAGAAATCCTAAACTATTCTAATAGAGAAATACTAGAACTATTGTAGATAAAGTAAAGAAAATCATGATGGAAACAACGAGTGATACTAAACAATAAAACATTTTCAAAAAGGGACAAAGGAATTGAATTTCCACGTTACGTAACATTGTAAAGATTTAATGTTTGTAAAAAAAACATCATCTCACATGTCTCATCTATCAACACAAACAAATATGAATCTACCTATAGAAATAAAAAAAATGTTTGCAACATGAGTCTAACTGAAAACACAAAATAATTCAAGTATGATGAGTCCCTTTCAAGTCCTTTTGTGAGTGAACACATATCGAAATTCTCGATACTCAACAGAAATCGATCTTTCAATAAGCTTATTTATCATTATCGAAGGGTGAAGGACATAATAAATGAATATCGAAGAAAAAAGTGACAGATAGGTGAGTAAACGAAAAGAAAATAGGAATGAAATAAGCTCAGGAGAGTTTAACGGTCACCTTGCAACAATTATTGGCAATTATCAGACCAAGGTACGACTGAGAAATGACATGGAGGGGGGGGGGAAACAAGAAGAATGGAAAAAGAAGAAAAAAAAAAGGATGGAGAAAGAGAAAGAAAAATGGGGGAAAGGAACGATCATCATTAGAGTAATTGCTACCTCGTGGCAAAGCAGGTCAACAGGTTTTTTTTTCTTTCTCTCTCTCTCTCTTCTTTCTTTGCCACCACTCATTGTCAATTTTGTGCCTTTTTATATTTTCATTTTTCTTTCGTATAATTTTTTTTTCCCTTCTATCTCTTATTTCGATGGTTTCTTCAAAAAACGATCGAACGATTTGAATTATAAAGAAGAAAAAAGGTAGCTGTCACAATTTTGTGGGGAGAGTAAGTGAGAGAGAGAGAGAGAGTATCAGACAGTGCAATTTCCATTTCCGCCCTAATAATCAAAATCTCTTGACTCGTATAACGCGAATTAAAATTGTTACGATCCAACTAAGAATTCATGTCGAAAGAACAAATATGTGTGTGTGTGTGTGTGAAAGGGTTGAACAAGAAAAATGAAATACAGAAGAACAAAGAAAAACTGATTACAACCGAATAAACACAGGATACCATTGAAAAAAAAAAAGAAAAAAAATTCAGAAGGTGGATTTTTAATGTACGACTATGCAAGAGATGCGAATAAAGAAAAAAAAATATACAAATGATGAAAGAATATTATTGTTTGTGTGCGAATACAACAACGAAAGGAGAAATATACTATCATAGTCAGGTGGATCTTTTCCTATTCCATTTATGAATTCCGTTTTTGAAACCATGGACCGTGGATCGTCTATCCAAGGACGGTGGAGATTAAAATGACGTTACAATAAGAAATATCTTCCTGATGTCTCTTAGTGAAAGCTCGAATTTGTAATGTTGTAATTATACATTCGATGAGAATAGATAAAACTTGAAATGAGAGAAGAAAATCGAATGAAATGAAATTTTGTCCTACATTTTGGGGCCGTTACAAAATATAAATAAAAATGAAACAAGTTATCGAAGATTAATTATTACAATAATCTTACATTTTTATTATAATTACATGCAACACAACTATTATATCATTTTTGAAACTTGTTGGATACAATAAAACGCATACAGCCCATGTAATTCTGTGAAAATTGCGAATTGGATGTTGCAACTCGCGTGATTTGACGATTAGGCTTGAAAGCTTACAATTAGGTTCATCGAGGACAAGGTTCATCATGGAAAAAGGAGAGGAAGTATCAACGATTGGTCCCTTCTTCCTGCGTTTATGGCACGGCGTAAAAACGAAAATCGAAGAGTTTATAGCATGGGGCATGTGTGTCTGTCCAATCTCTGTCCAAAATACACACAGCACGTTATTATTTATCGTTGCACACAATTCTATCGATATTATAATTATAATATTTTTACACAGACGTATAATACTTAAATAACATCGATTTAATGGAGTTATGTTAGATATGATGACAAAATGTCTATTTACGATTCACGCCGAGCTTTTATGCACGCTTCAAAAGATGTTTGCCTGTCACAGATGTTGAACATCGAATGTGTCCAATATTGTTTCAATGTGAAGTCTTTTTAGAAATGCATGTATATCGATATCGTAAGATTTCTATGATTTTTGTTTACGTTTATTATAATTAAATTTGTCTGTACAAAATGTAGACAAGTGTAATACAAATGATTATTTACGTTTGATCGATAATTCGTATCAGACTTATATTATTTTTCATATTTTTACGTATCGTGAAGATAAAATTCTGATTAACAAAAAATTCGAATATACTTCGATGCTTTGAAAATATATTTAAAATTTGATTATGGAATTCCGTCGGAAAATCGGTCAAATTTTTTGAAATAAATCGCACAAAGTAGAATCCCATAGAACCCTCTGCGTTTTTATGTTACAAATAAAAGAATCTCGGCATTATATTTTTACGCGTGGATTATTATCTTGTCAAAGAGAATTTGTCAAAAAAAAAAAGGATAAAGGATTTGTGAAAGTTTATCGCTGTTTTCCAATCGAATTATTTTACGGCCAAAGATTAGACGGTTAAAGGAACGCGGTCGCGACTCGACGTTTGGAAAATAGCCGATGGGGATTTTATACGAAAAGATATTATACTGTATACTATTCCATTGAATGAAAAATAGTTGAACTGGAAAGAAACGTTTGTAAAGAAAGGTCTTTTAGAATATAGGTAAGAAATGGCAAGCATCACAAAGTACCTTTCTACGCGTATTCTTGTCCTAGAAACTTACGGTTCCCAACATTTCTTTTACTTTAGATATTTTTTATCTATTATTTCGAAAGATCGTGCGGGTTAATCGTATTCTTCTATTTTTTTTTTTTTTTTTTATTTCTCGAGATAAAAATGTGTATAGGTGTAACCATAAGTACGTAGGTTTATTTAAAAATCATTCGTCGCGAGTTTAATTCAAGCAACGATATTTGTGTTCATATTCTTCGTCTTTATTAATAAAATCTTTCCCTACATCTCTACAGTGATCTGCGCTCAAGGATTGATTGCCAAAGATAAAAGTGGTACGTCAGATCCGTACGTAACGGTTCAGGTCGGTAAGGTGAAGAAACGAACGAGAACGATGCCGCGTGAACTCAATCCGGTCTGGCACGAAAAGTTTTACTTGTAAGTATAAATCATATTTAAAGCGTATCGACCTTACGAGAATGGTTCATAATAAATTGCTTACAGGATCGTGACACGCAAGTCTAATCCCCCTTTTAAACTTTGATAACCGACTAAAGGTGTTGTCACATAAAAATTTATATATAGATATATATATAAACTTTTGAAAAGTCGGTCAACAACCTTTAATAGCTAGATTTCATGTATTATTTACATAATCATCAATTAGTATAAAAATCGTTGAAAGGATTAAAATAGAAATCGATCAAACTTAATCGAGTTTGTCAATCATTTTCAGCGAGTGTCACAATTCGTCCGATCGAATAAAGGTTCGCGTATGGGATGAGGACAACGATTTGAAATCGAAACTACGACAAAAACTTACACGTGAAAGCGACGATTTTCTTGGACAAACGATCATCGAGGTTAGAACTTTAAGCGGTGAGATGGACGTCTGGTACAATCTGGAAAAGAGAACGGACAAGAGTGCGGTATCAGGTGCCATCAGGTTGCATATAAGCGTAGAAATCAAAGGCGAGGAAAAAGTTGCACCGTATCACGTACAATACACCTGTCTGCACGAAAACCTCTTTCATAGTCTTTGCGAGGAAAACGCCGGAATGGTTAGCCTACCACAAGCAAAAGGCGAGGATGCCTGGAAGATATACTTTGATCCACCTGGCGAAGAACTCGTTGACGAGTTTGCCATGCGATACGGCATCGAAAGCATCTACCAAGCTATGACGTGAGTTTTTTACGAACTGATCATTTTCATCACAAAAATGTTATCTTCTTTATCAACTACACAAATGATTCTAATTCTAATTGTGTATCCTACCATTTGTATTTCAGACATTTCCACTGCCTCTCGACAAAGTACCTGTGCCCTGGGGTCCCCGCGGTAATGTCGACCCTTTTGGCCAACATAAACGCCTATTATGCTCACACAACCGCTAGCTCAGCAGTTTCTGCTAGCGATAGATTCGCTGCTAGTAATTTTGGGGTAAATATTTCTAACTACTCCTTAACAAAATCTAAATGTAAACATGTTAACACGACTGTTCGTTCGCAGAAAGAAAAATTCGTTAAATTGTTGGACCAGCTTCACAATTCTTTGAGGATCGATCTCTCGTCGTACAGAAATAATTTCCCAGCTTCGAGCCAGGAAAAATTGATGGATCTTAAAAGCACGGTCGACCTTTTGACGAGCATTACGTTCTTCCGTATGAAGGTGCAAGAATTGTCGAGTCCACCTCGTGCAAGCACAGTCGTCAAGGATTGCGTGAAAGCTTGTCTGCGTTCGACCTATCAGTTCCTCTTCGAACATTGCTACGAGCTTTATAGCAGAGAATTCCAGGCTGATCCGAACGAACCGAAGAAGGATCCGGAGGATCACGGACCACGAAGGGACTCTCTCGACTTTTGGCACAAGCTCATTGCTCTGATCGTTTCGGTGATCGAGGAGGACAAGAACAGCTATGCGCCCGTGTTAAATCAATTCCCCCAGGAGTTGAACATCGGTCAACTATCGGCAGCCACGATGTGGTCTTTGTTCGCAGTCGACATGAAGTACGCCCTGGAGGATCACGAGCAGCATAGACTGTGCAAGTCCTCGGCCTATATGAATCTTCACTTTAAAGTCAAATGGTTGTACACAAATTATGTCAAAGACGTGCCACCTTACAAGGGTGCCGTGCCAGAATATCCTGCCTGGTTCGAACCGTTTGTCATGCAGTGGCTCAACGAGAACGACGACGTATCCTTGGAATACTTACACGGTGCCTTCACTAGAGACAAAAAGGATGGGGTGAGTAAATCGATAAAATCATTAATAGCACCAATCGATGACTTCAATCTGTTATTGACTTATTTTAAAATACTCTTTTTTACGTTCTTTGTACAAACAGTTCCAAAAGAGCAGCGAACATGCTCTCTTCAGCGTATCGGTTGTCGACGTGTTCACACAACTCACTCAGTGCTTCGACGTTGTCTCGAAACTCGAATGTCCCGATCCGGAGATTTGGAAGAGGTACATGAAGAGATTCGCTAAGACTATAGTCAAGGTTCTGGTAGCTTACGCTGACATTGTCAAAATGGAGTTCCCCAGTCACTTGAAAGAGGAACGAATCGTAAGTCTTTGCAAGAAAAAACACAACGGGAAAGATTAAAAACGCTTATTAAATATTTCATTTGACATTTTTAGGCTTGCATCCTTATGAACAATATCCAACAACTGCGAGTACAGCTCGAAAAGATGTTCGAATCGATGGGCGGCGAGAAACTGGAAGATGACGCAGCAGAAATTTTGAATGAACTTCAGCAGCAACTCAATAGCGCTTTGGACGACCTGGCGATGCTTTTTGCAAAGAGTCTCGAGCCACGTATAACTGCCTCGGTTCGAGAACTGTCAGATCTCCTTTTGGCCATCAAAGGTGGTGGTCAGGTGAATTTGTCTCAAGCGCAACAAAGAAACAATGTTACTGTAGAAGCTGACGAGGTGTTAAGGCCTTTAATGGTTCTTCTCGATGGAAGTCTTTCCCTCTATGCCGAATCCTGCGAGAAAACGGTACTTAAGAGATTGTTAAAAGAACTTTGGAAGATTGTCATGAGAATTCTCGAAAAGACTGTAGTCTTACCACCCATGACGGATAAAAGCGTACGTTTAATATTTTTGATTTCAATTAAATCATCAATTTATGTTACAATAGCAAAGATTTTTTTAATCATTGGGTAATGTTTTTTATAGATGATGTTCAAGAATCTCACGGATAACGCGAAGAGTCTTGCAGCTAATGCCAAGATAGAAGACATGTCCAAGTTGTTTAAAAATCACATGGCTGGAAAGCCGGATGTCAAGAACGCTCTCAGCGGTGTCATGGTAATGTGTCATTTCGAAATAATTCACTGTCACTTTCTATTAACCATCGTGTACTTAAAATACTGTATAAACAAATTAACCAAAAAAGGCACGTTTCTTTTTCTTTCTTAGGATATCTCGAAAGAGGTGGAAAAGAATCTTTCGCCAAAACAATGCGCAGTATTGGATGTTGCTCTCGATACCATCAAACAATATTTCCATGCTGGCGGTAATGGTTTGAAAAAAGCCTTCCTCGAAAAGTCATCGGAATTACAGAGTCTCAGATACGCTCTCAGTCTGTACACACAGACAACAGACACTCTCATCAAAACCTTCGTCACGTCTCAAATAAATCAAGGTAGGTAAACACCTTACTCACGTTTTTCCCTTAACAAAAAGGGGGAAAATAAAAAAATGATCGAACAACTAACAAAGCCATAGGAAAGCTTTGTGGAAAATATTCAAAAATCAAGACAACACTAATATGCTTTTAACAAGATAAAACAAACTACAGTTTTTGTATTTTTCTTTTCTTTCCTTTTTCACAATCTCTACTCTTTCGAAAAATTAGTTGAAAAAAATAAGCAACGCGTTTAGTTAACATAACTGGCACGTTTATGAGCGCGATATTCGTTCTCGATTGACAAGAAGGTTAAATGATAATTGTCGGGACAGTGCCGCTGAACGATGCGTCAACGCTACGTCAGCGTCAGCGTTCGATGAGCAGCGAAAGAGGTGACGAAGGGGAAGGAGCCGAGGGTATGGAAAGCCTCGAGGAACCCCTTCGCCAAAGCAAGCCCTCTCTCCGTCGAGAGAGTCGTCAAGGTACACTCAAGAGCACGACGCAAGCAACCCCTTAAACCGGAAGTTTCAATGCTAACTTTTCGGTTTACACGCTTCCTTTCGATTTATTCCGAATTTAGATGCTCAATGACCATTATACAAAATATGATCATACCTGTCTGCTGCAACGTCATAGTTCATCTTGTTTTTTTTCTTTCTTTCTTTCTTTTAAGCCTTGGACACTTAAACAAAAAAAATCTTTTGCTCGAAGACGTTTCGACTGACAAATAGTTGCGCTAATGTCGTCGGAGTAGTACAGCTAAAAATATCACTACGAAGCTGCTAGAGCTGAATTAATTCGTATGTCACACACACACACACACACAAAATACACGCATACACAAAACTAGATAAATTAGATCGTATTATATTGTTAGGAAGCTTCTCAAACATCTTAGTAAGCATCGATCAACCAAAACCTTCACTCACACGAAATTCTTCTCTAATTGTAAGAGAAGATTTATGCATTTTGCTAGCTATCTCGCAAAAAAATAAAAAAAACACAAAGAACACTGAGAAACGATAGAACGGGGGATGCAGAGACTCGATGAGTCGATAACGTGCACGAAGGATACTCTTGTGATAGATAATAGATACTGAATGTTTTTCTTTAAACGTTGGGAAACGAAGGAAAAATGTAGCTCAACTGATCCGTCTCTTTCAATATTTTCATTTGAAAATTCACAAACGGAATTTGAATTCTCTGTTATTGTTGAATTTTATTGATGTTCTAAATAGAAAAAAGAAACTTTTACATTTACAACTTGCTTCGTCTCCTCAATGCAAGAAAAACAAGTAATTGCATATCGGTAGAGCATGTTGATTTGCTCTCTAGATATAGAAGGAAAAAAAAAAAGAACTAGACATTTAGAAATAGCAACGTTTGTATGATACTTTTTTCATCGGCTAGTAATTCATTATTTTTCTACGAGTTAAAAAAAAAACGAGTATAAGAAACGACTGATTTAATTATGTAAAGTTCCAGAAACAGCTGGCACTGACGAGGGTTCCGTTGGAGAAGTTAGCATCCAAGTGGACCTATTCACTCATCCTGGAACCGGTGATCAAAAGGTTACGGTGAAAGGTATAGTTCTTTTTTCTATTTAAATTAATAAACGTAGAGAAGAAGTAAGAAGGATGATTAATCGATTGGTTATACAAAATTTTCAGTTGTTGCCGCAAACGATTTGAAATGGCAATTAGCTACGGGAATGTTTAGGCCATACGTCGAAGTCAATTTAATTGGTCCACATTTAACCGGCAAAAAGAGAAAACAATCGACCAAATCTAAGAGCAATAATTGGTCGCCGCAATTCAACGAAAGTTTTGACTTGTGAGTATTGAAAATAAAATGATGATTGTGTGAAAAAGAAATATGAATTAAACTAATACAACATATGATTGATTCAAACAGCATGATCGGTAACGAGCAACAACAATTGGACTTTTACGAGCTTCACATATGCGTGAAGGATTATTGTTTTGCGAGAGAGGATAGACTGGTCGGTGTAGCAGTGATGCAAGTAAAGGATATCGTCGAAGAAGGTTCCTGTGCATGTTGGCTGTCACTCGGCAAACGAATTCAAATGGACGAAACCGGTTGGACAATTTTACGAATTTTATCGCAAAGGAACAACGACGAGATAGCCAAAGAATTTGTTAAACTTAAGAGCGATATCAGGCAGGAAACACCGCTACCAAATCCCACCTGAGACGGTGAACCGTCGACACAATAAAAACTCGACAGCTATGCGATACTACATTGTCCTTTGAGCTTGGAAAGAGCTCCAAGGTATGCCTATGGTGGACAAGTTTTTGCCTGACGAAAATGGAGAACCAAGATGAATTAAGATTGGATGGAACAAAAATAAAGTTCACACTTTGGTGCCAATACAACAGCAATATCGATGAATCAAGAAAATCCCTGCTGAAAAGAGGCGAACGCGCAAGATAAGAACCGATCGACTCTAAAAAGGGCGCAACGACAATTTCGATTGTTTGTTACTCGAAGCCCTTTATTTTTTCACGGACGACCGATCGAATCCCTTTCGCTTTGATATTTTAAGGAATTTATGGAAACAACGATTCCTATTCCTTCATGCGAAAGGGATCCGAACGAAACACCGTATCTCTTCTCCCTTTTTTACGAGTCACACGTGCTACGTTATATACACCACACATGCCACACGTACACACATACACACAAAAAGACACATATACAGATACATACATTCACTGACGGAGTTAAGTGTTATCGCCCATAAAAAAGAAAAAAAATACAGAGCTCGACCAACGTTCTTTCGGCTCGTCAAAAAAGAAAATATATCTAAGACAACAAGGGGACGATTTCTGCCGTCCTTTTTGGAAATGAATTAAACTACGAGCTTGACAGAGACTGAAAAATTACCCTGACGACTACGATGACGATGACAAAAGACGAAGACGTAGACATATTATAAAATGACATCATCTGTAAAAAGCGAAACGTCATCAATGGATAAAGAAAAAGAATCCTTGAAGATTCTTTCATTTGTCCACCGTGTATCGCGAGAAAAGAGAAAAATTAAATTAAAGTACGTACGAATCGGCAAGAGTGGAAACAGTGAAAACAGTGCTGCCAGTATGCAATATATTTGCTAAATATTCGTTATGTAAATGGGAGCAAGGAAATAGAAAGAAAATGATGAAAAAAAAGGGAGAGAGCATTAAGAAAAAAAGAAATCATAGGAAAAGACATAAAAGACTGAAAGATGAGCGCGTGACAACGGACAAAAACACATTTAGTATAGTAAAGTAAAAAAAAAAAAAAAAAAAAAAAAACAAGGTGACAAACAAACGAATGTGTGTGTGAGAGAGAGAGAGGGAGAGAGAGAGAGAGAGGTATTATCACGAATAAAATGTTTGAAGAAAGTTCGAATATAAAGGAAAAGAAAATTTAGAAAAGGAAAAGAGACGATTAAAAATAATAATTAACGCGCGCTCATAAATGAGAGACACGACACAACCTTTTAGGCCCGTTTGGACGGACGAGAAGTTTACTGTAGATAAACGTGCAAAAAAAAAAATAAGAAAAAAAAAATAACATATTGTTGACGAAGATGAATTTTTCTAACACAACTATTTAAATGTAGCATTGAGTACGACCAAAGGGCACGCTCTGACCGTCAATCATGGGCGTGCCATTAGTAATAAAAATTTAGGCATTGTAATGTATAAAAAGTACCTATACGTTGTTATTCATAAGAGTAACGAAAAAAAAAAAAAAAGAAAATAAAAAAGTAAGTCAAAGGAGAAAAGAAACAAAAAGAAGTCAGATAAGAGTCGGCGAGAGACTGCATCGTTTAAAAAAAAAAA